GTCCGCGGCGACTGATCGCAATCGACAAGTCAATCGATTACCATTGTGATTCCATCGTTCCTGAACGGGCCCCTCTCGGCTACCGTGCCATTAACTGCCGTTTTACTTTCAGCGATCGACGGAGATCGTATCGCGCTTTGTTCGCTGGCAGCGTAGCCTCGAGCCGACGCCGGAACGTTCGAGCGACTGAATCATTTTTCCCTTCCTGTCGGGAAAGTGACGTTTTGCCTCGCTAATTGAGCCACGCTTTTTTCCACGCGAAGCGTTCGCGGGAACACGTTACCGGGTTAATTGGAATGTTACCTTTTTTAAATAGAATTCTTATCGCGGCTCGAGATTCTTGGAAATATTGTAATCGACGAACGGCGGTCGAGAGGAAACGAATCGGTAGACTTTAGTTCTGCGTTTGTAGTAATTAAATGTATCGACGTGATAAAGTATAGTGATTAGTTTCTTGGTATATAGGATATGTATCGATGTAAGAATTTTACGGAAGATTTGTGCTATCATTCGGTTTTCATAGTAGCCATTTGTAGATCGATGTTCCCTTAGAACGAGTGATTCGCCTCGTAATTTTATAATTAAATTTTTCGATCGTTCATCGGGTACTCGAAACAGAAGTTCCCGGGTAAACAGTTCCTACTTACGGTAGTCTATAATTAAGTCTCCGATATCAGCGAACGATCAGTACGCGCCACGACCGTATTGCCGCGTCTTATCTGATCAAAGATACGTCTGGTACATTATGCGAGCTTAATGGATCGAAGGAGTAGAGTAATATCAACTATGTAACGCGCGTTTAACATACGAATTACTGCATTAACTTGCTGGCATTCTTTATCAAGAACGTAATTAAGCGAAACTTGTTTCCAATTTTTCCTACGCACTGCGGAGAAATCTTTTCGCCGATTTACCATTTACTCAAGCAAAACACTTTGCCTCGAGAAGATCCTCGCGACAGAAGAGTCCGAGGAATGGAGCAGTCTTTTCGGCCGAAGCCTTCGGTCGCTCTAATTTCCAGTTGAGAAGCGGGCGCCAAGTTCTGCGAGCAGCTCGAAAATTCCGGTGCCAAGGCGACCTTGATTTTACCACCTTAACGAGCCAAGGATTCGGTGTTCCAGTTTCCTCGTTCAGCAATAATTAGCATTCAACGCAGAATTTCGACAACCGGTGCAATCTAATAAGAAGTTTACTGTTGTTCCCAAAGCTAACTTCCTAACTGGAGAACGCTCTCGAACTGTGCACGATGATCTATTTTATCGGTGGAATACTTCATCGTGAGCTAACCTTTTTACTTTGACTTCTATTTCAAACAAAAACAGCTATTCTCTTCTTTAGGCGATCTTTCGTTGTTATAGCCTCAATTTCCATTCACAGATCTAGGGTACCATTACCTAATACTGACGTTAAATTTCCAACGCAGAAATGTGACCAAAATGGCCACGAAACTACGAGAAACGATCGACCGTTCGACAAGCGAGTAAGACTACAATGAAAAGAATATATACATTCATTTATATTTATATTTATTGATTTTCCATTGATACGAAACATTTCCCGAGGAAATCACGTACGAATACTCAGACGACCCTAGTGCACCTCTCGGCAGACCTGTTACTCAAAGAACCCGGCAAGCCGAGCCCGCCGTTCTCCGGATCAATCCGCAGTCCATCCGTTGAACGTGACCCGCGTTGGAGAGCAGGGTCGCCGACCGTCGGCCGTCAACAAAAGCAAGGGTCCCTGACCCCGCGGCTCCTAAACCGCCGCAGAACCTGTTCCACTTTCCTGAGGAACTGTGGGAATTCGGGTCGCGCGCTTGTCGCCGCGTGAAATGAAACGAGAGTCCAACACCAGCTCGAGTTCTCGCAAGTTTCTCTTTTATTCAAAGGTTCCGTTCGGTGAATTGATTATCACTTATCATTTAATAATGTACACACAACAATTAATATTTATATATTCATATATATATAGATATACGTACTCGTATACGTATATACATATAGATATACTCGTGTATTTATAAAAGTTCGGCGAGCCCTTAGAAAACGTAAGGGCGACCGACCCGGATGGAAGGGGGGGCGGTAGCTTTTGCTCGCCGAGGGATCGTCGATTCCGCTGTAGCCGATCAGCTCCAGCCGCGGCCAGATCCATCGATCCTTCCGCTGATCCGTCCGTCCGTCCGTCCGTGTCCCTGGGGTGGGCAGGAATGAACTCGAGGGACGAAATCGGGGACACAGCGTTTCTCTATTATACACAACCGAGGCGGACCCGCGTCCGGCCCGCTCGTCGGGTTCATAGGGGATCGTCGGGGATTCTAGGGCAGAGGGATGGAGGCAGTGGGAGAGGAGGATCGTCGGACAGCTCGGGAACGAAGGGGGAATCGCGCTCCCGTTGTCGCCTCGTTTCGTCCTGGCCGCTGAATCTCTGGTTTCACGACTTATCACAGATCGCTGGTGACGGTTCACGGTTTAGGGGCTCGTTCGGGTACCCTCGGATCCTCCCAGTCCTCGGAACCTCCCCCTCCGCTCCCGTGGATTACCCTGTACCGTCGGAACATACCCTGCCCGGATCCTTGGCGATTCGACTCCGCGAATTTTCGAAAAGAGGAAGACACCTAGCCATCCTCTAAAAAGCTTGTAGGCCTACGAGGATCGGCCGGTCGATCGATGGGACGAGCCACGCGAGTTGGGACGATTTTGTTGGACTGATGGGGTGGGCAAATTTCTGTTCGTCGAGGTGAACGCCTTCAGAACAGGCGGATGGGATCATCGGTAGGGCAGCTGTGACTTAGACGTGATGGAGGAACCGCCGGGATTAGAAGAACCCGTCGCCGGTCGGGTCGTTTACCCAGGGGTAGTTGTTAGGGCAGCGCACGCAGGTCTGCAGGTTGATGGTCTCGCCGGGCACCTCCTTCGAGGTGAGCTTGCAGGTGTGGGGTACCCAGCAGGCCGGGTTGCCGTCGACCACGCACTTCTCTCTCCACGGCTCGAAGTTCTTCGACTCGGTCACCGTGCGGGGGTTCTGGATCCACTGGATCACCTGGGTCATGGTCACGAAGTAGACGTCGTTGTGGTTCGACAGGATCTCGTCGATCCAGTAGAGGAACGCGTCCAGGAACTCGGGGTTGTTCTTCAGCCAGGCAGCGTGGAAGTAGAGGCCCAGGGGAGCGCGGTTCTGCTCGTAGTGGCGGTCGAAGTTGTGGTTCAGGAAGTTGTAGAACTGGTCGCCGGTCAGGATGTTGCTGCAGGAGTCGACCATCGCGCAGCCGGGCAAGTACTCGTCGTTCTGCGGGTCCTCGCGGCGGTCCAGCTCGTTCATCACCATCTCCCAGACGGCGTGCGACCTGCGGGAGAGACGTGGTTTGGCGAGAAATTCACGGAACCCGACAATATGGCGGATAGTGAATTCTTCAGACGTTATTTAGGAATAGCTTCGGTCGATTTTGGTTCGTGCAATTACGCGAATATTCCGGTACTTTGGTTTCGAAGCTAGTTCTCGTGATTTATATACACGAACGCGTTTCCTGGGAACAATAGAATGTAGAATAAACGCCCGTGATTCTAGCGTTGAGGTGGATTCCAGTTGCGTTGAGCTCTTAGCGAGTGTGGGCTTGATTTGTTTTCTTCTCGGAATGTTTCTGATGAACTGCTTTGGGAATTTAGAGTGTCGTGCGTTGAAATGTTATACAGAAACTGTTAACCCTTTGCACTCGAGAGGACTCTCAGTCACTTGATTTGATTTGCAAAATTATAAAGTCTTATATATAATATTAAGCTTTGTATGATGTTTCCTTGTTTCCTCGTTAATTAGTTTCAAACATCGTCTGTACCTCATCGAAGAATATTGAATATTTCTAGTGAACTTCCCAGTGCAAAGGGTTAAAAATAAAGTTCAAGTACCGAGCTGTTCTTTTCGAGGCAACCTCGAGTTTGAATATTGAGAGAAAGATTCTGAAGTTTAAAACTCTTGAAACTAATAAACAACCAATTGAACCTCCGATAACGCGAGGGTACCAGGAAGTCGCCAGATAAAGGGGAAAAAAGAAATGAGAAGAAACGAAGGAAACGCTTAATTGAATATGCAAGCGAAAACAAGACCGAGGTGAATTAAATGTGAAGGTCTCGATTCAGTTCCACGGTCTCCTTTTTCCGCGGCAACCTTTCTTCCCTTGATCGTCGTCCTTGAGGCGGCAATCGTGTAATTTTCAGGTTACCTGGTGGGGCAATGCTGAAGATTTCCGTGGCAGCGGTGCGGCATCCTGAAGTACATGGTGTAAGGCCACAGTGGTGGGTTGTTCAAGGCCGCGGTGATCGTGGAGTCATAGAGGAACGCTTGCTCTTCCATCATGGTGAACTGATTGTTGCCGCCGACCCTCAGGTACGGCGCCCTGACGCCGACCACGCTGTTGTCGGTCAGATTGGCGTACTTCTCCGCGATGATCCTCATACCGGCCATTTCCTTCGCCCAATCGTCGACGGTCGCGTCCGACCAGAAACGTTCGTCGTCGTTGTGTCTTGGAAGAAAATTGATCGCGTTCCGTTAACGCTCCGACCGAGATTCTTCGATCTCGAAACGGTCGATGAATAGTTACCGAACACGAAATCTTAGAAATTGAGGATTTTCTAACGAATTTATATGAAAATGGTCGTTAAATGATTTAGAAATATTGAAATCACTGTGAAGAAGTAACTTTTTTATAGAGATTGATATCAAAGTTGTCTGCAGATTTGAAACCTCGATTCCACTTTCCTTTGAAATATTAACTAAACAACTAAGAAAAATTGCAAATAAATGGTAACGTATACTAAACAGTTGCCTACCTTCAAGGTGAAATATTCCTAGAGCCAAGACATTTCGAAAATTGCAATTTGAAATTAAGTATTTTCGGGAACTTTTATCTATGTTATAGAGATTGATATCAAAGTTGTGTACAGATTTGAAACCTCGATTCCACTTTCCTTTGAAATTTTAACTAAACGATTAGAAAATATTGCAAATAAATGATAACGTATGCTAAACAGTTGCTTAACTTCAGGGTGAAATATTCCTAGAGCCAAGACATTTCGAAAATTGCAATTTGAAATGAAGTATTTTCGAAGTTAGGAAATATTCGTTGAAAATGGCGATGAAATGCGAAGGATAGCGTGCAAGACAGACCGACGCGCTCGTAACGAGCAGATAATACGGATTAGAAAGACGGGTTTAATGGCGGTTCAGGGACATTGTCTTACGAGATAGAGTGAACGGCGATCTCGTGTCCTTTCCTGTGCATTTCCTGCACGGCCGAGTAGTTGGTGTACTTGTGGGAGACGAAGAAGGTGGCCTTGACGTCGCAGCCGTTCGGGTTCTTGCGTTTGCCGTTGAAGATCTCTTTGTACAGGCCGATGTTGTTGTTGTTGATCGCGTCGTCGAACGTGATCGTGATCATCTGAGGCACGTCCTTCGACGGCAGGTCGCCGGGGATCAGCGTGCCGTCCTCCGAGCAGAAGCAATCCGGAAGAACGCAGACCGCGGGGTCGCAGGGAGGCGCCCTGTTAGGATCGTTGTCCATGTCTGGAATTTCGAACACCCGGATTGTTCCCCTAGGCGCCAGATTCGACGATTCTTAGGTGCCATCGAGGCGCACCATAGCGATCGAAAATAACACTAGGTTTACGGAACACGTCAAATTGACGCATATTGGATTCTAGAAATATTATTTTGTAAATGTTTAACGATTGTGCCGATTTTGATTGATGCGATCACACTGTCATGTACTACAATTACCTACTATCAAATCTCCAGTTTCCACAATCTAAATAAACGAGCACCGATTCTTTTAGGAATAATAGAACGAAGTGTACAATAAATGCCCGTAAACCTAGTGATAAGCCTCGAAGAATTTGGCTGGCGACTGAAAGATTCTTCAATTTCAGATCGTTTAGCGGTCTTTGGGTATATTTCTGTTGAAAATCGGAGTTTATCCATGATTGGCTAAAGATTTTGGACCTTTCTAGAGAGTTAGGTACAATATGGATGTAATAATTGTAAATAAGTCTTTTAAGTGAAAGTTACTGAAGTAATATGAAGTCGAATATGCCGATTATTTTCTTCAGATAGGTTCGAGTTAAGTATCGATTTAAAAATAGTCAGCCAAGACTATCCGAAAAGGATTTTAAACGTTCAATTTAACGACCTTGAATTCCGGTTTATCCGGTATTCAAGCCTCGCGAGCCAATCGACGTTCAAAATGACCGGCACAATCGAAAGTGACTGCGTCATCAGAAGCTTCGTTCATTTAGCACCTATCGTTAAACGGCTCTTAAAAATAGGACTCTTAGTCAAGATCGAAGATTTTCGTAAACCCTGTGATTCCAGTTTATCCGGTATCCGACGAGCGACGATCCGCGAATCGGCTAACTAAGTCCCGAACGGACATCCAATTAACCCGATAACAGCCGAGGTCGTCGCATCCAATTACTCCCGATTGCTCCAATCGTTGCCAATTAGCAGCGCGCCGCGGTTGCGTTCGCGAAACCCCTCGAAATCGAATCACCGACGCGGCGAATTCGTGCTGAGAGCAATTCCGAATACTTCGAGTTCGTGTCGAACGGAATTTCGAATACTTCGTGTTCGTGTTGAGAGGAATTCTGAATACTTTGAGTTCATACCGAGCGGAATTCGGAATACTTTGAGTTCGTGCCGAGTGGAATTCCGAATACTTCGAGTTCGTGTCGAGCAGAATTCTGAATACTTTGAGTTTGTACTGAGCGGAATTTCGAATACTTCGTGTTCGCGTGGAGCAGAATTCTGTATACTTTGAGTTTGTACCGAGTGGAATTTCGAATACTTCGTGTTCGTGTCGAGAGGAATTCCGAATACTCTGAGTTTGTGCAGAGAGGAATTTCGAATACTTTGAATTCGAACCGAGAAGAATTTTGAATACTTTGAGTTTGTACCGAGCAGAATTCCGAATATTTGGAGTTTGTGCCGAGAGGAATTCCGAATACCTCGAGTTCGACTCGATAGGAATTCCAAATACTTCGAGTTCGACCCGATAGGAATTCCGAACATTTCGAATTAGACCCAAAAGGAACTCCGAATGCTTGGAACTCGTGTCAATAGGGATTTCTAATACTTCGATTTCGTTCAGCGATAAAATTCTCACTCACCGCAGATGTTCTCGTCGGAGCCGTCAGTGCAGTCTTTCTCCCCGTTACAGAAGAGGCCTCGTTCGATACAGGAGCCGTCCCCGCACGCGAGGAAGCCATCTTGGCAGAGAGGTTCTTCGGTGTAGAGCAACGGTTTCGCTTTTCTCTCTTTGTTCTTCAGTTTGCAGTTGTTCACCGAGTCCTTCCAGTCGCAGGTCTGCTTGTCGATGTCGAAGTAGAGACCCGCAGGACACCTGATGGCCTGGAGGCCGGAACTGGTGCACTGGATCACGTCCCTGCAGTTGTCACCCTCGCCCGCTACCAATCGGAACCATTCGCCTGCGTCTTTGTCCTTGCATATCTCGCTCTCGAAGCTTTCTTCCTTCTTTGATTCCTCTTGCCTCTTCACTCGTTCTAAGCCCTCTGAAATTACACCGTAACGATCTTCTTTATTATTATAGTTTTTTGTCTTTTGTAGAATGTAATTGGGCCTGGAGGGTGTAGGTAATTCAGCGTAAAGATAAAGCATAGTTCTAAGTGTTTTGAAGGTTGATCGTGGACGATTTCAGTTATTTATTGTTGTGTTGACTTTGACAAGCAGTAAGTGAACATGTTATAGACATTTCAATGTAAGGGTAAGGGGATTTCTTAGAGACTTTTAGAATAACTTTTCGTTCAGTTTCTTATGGATTACATTCTCATGTTTTTGTATGGTGCGTGGCGGTAAAATTCCGGCGTCATCCTGCGACAGGATGTTTTGGAAATCGAGAGCTGAGTTTAGAGAAAATCAAGTGTCTCAAAGAATGCGAGGCAGTGTTTGGACTGAGCGATAGAACGCGAGAAGGCAGCGATAACGAATGTGGTACATGACTGCGTGAACGTTGCCTATGGTCGCTGGGTGAGAAAGGTGCAGCCAAGAAAGAATGTAGGTGAAAATAAAGGAAAAAGCGTTCAAGCTGTCCGTGCTCGTTGATCCGAGAGAAATAAAAAGTATGCCGATTTTAATCGCTCCACAATTGTAAACTCGAGATACAATCCAAGGATAGTTCATAGTTAAATTCGCGAATTTATTAATTCCATATAAGAAGAAACGTCATTAAAGCAGTTCAAACGGTACGCTTTCAACGACTCACAGCTCGCGGAAGAGGATGTAACACCATTTGCTAAGTAAATATCGCGCAAAAAGCCATTTGCACGTGATGGGTTCGTTTCTGGTTCTCAAAGCAACTATCTTCAACACTCTGCCAGTCGAATTCCACGAGTAGCTGAAACATCCTCCGAAAGTAACGCGCGATCCGAGAAACTCGTCCCCGAAGAAAGTCGCAGGAACATCGATCGCCGGCGAATTTCTTCGGGGGAACGGCGAGATTCATGGGGATTGCGTAACCGTCGGGTGTATCAGTTGCGAGATTATGGAAAGCCGGCGAGATTAGCGTCGATACAAGTTTAGCCTGCGGTTATTTATTCGCGGATCGATAGCGTCGCGCCGCGTCGAGCGTCGTCTAACGAACGCCGGTCGCGCTGGCCAGCCATTTCGTTTCGTTTCTCGCGCGTCGCAATGGCCAGAGACGGACGAAACGCTGTGTTGCAAATTGCACGGGATTTTTTGCCGCGTCCGCGTTGATCACCGCTGGCCGATGCTTTTATATCCGCGCGACGAGGAAGTGAAAAGCAATCTTATTATTTTACGTAACGCGTTGCGAGCGCGCCTCTCGCGCGATTTGGCGAATGTTTATTTTGTTTGCGTAACGGAACATTGAATAATATGCTACGTTTGCCGATCCACGGATTGGCGAGTCCGCTTCTGTAGGATATTCGGGCATCCAGCGTTCACCTGTTGAATAAAAATGAAGGGGGTGGAGGTGAGCGAGTGCACTCGCGGAGAGGAAAAGTGAAACGCGACTGTTAATGTTGCGGTTGATCTTCGGAATCGAAGCGCGGCTACTCGAGTAATGTCATTTCAAAATAACATGCAAAATTAGAAGAAAAACAATCATTGGTTTTATTAATATCTCAAGTAATAAATCATTCCTTTGACTACCAGAAGTATTTATTCTTCATAGAGGCAACAAGAAACACTTGTGCATAGAAACTACGAAGTACCGTAATTTTTATAATATTTTAAGAGCTCCGTTTCTAGAGGTATTTATAAATACGAAGTTAAGTAATGAAAGATAAATAAAGGCAGGATAAAATAAGTTGTCTTTAAATATTAACCCCTTGGGTATCAATCAAGAAGATGTTTGGAGGATGTTTTATAAGTCAATTGATTCGTTGCAGAAAATTTGAATGATCACGTGCATCATTGTTCTATGAAGGACATGCAGAGGGAAAGGGTTGAATGATTCATTCGAATTTGATCGGATCACGCGGAGGACGGGACGATCGATGAAGACCGCGGAACGCCAGCGTCGCCGATTTACGTAACGATTTTTCAACGTCCGCGGGTTGATTATGCGCATAAACAAAAGCGCGTGGCCGCCGGATGAAACTGTTGGCCCCGGCGGTGCTCGTTCCGCGTAGGAAACGCTTTCGTCGTGAAAGCGGAGGCGAGCCGCGCGGATTTTTACGTGCGGCGGGACACGTGTTTGCTTTCTTCTCTTTGCAGTTTTGAGCTCGCGTTAATTTTATATGAAACCAGCGAACGGAGAAAGCTGTTCCGGACGTGCCTCGGACGACATTGTTTTGTTCGCGTGACGCGCGTACTGAATACAGCAATTAATCACGGTTATTAACGAAGAGAGCTAATCAAATTACATAGCGGCCGACGACGACAGCTTAATGGACGTACTCGAGTCTGTAATTACCATTACGTATATCTCGGTTGAATAAAAATAATTCGCGGATGTTGCTAAACTTCGTTCTCTGCTTCGATATTCGTCTGTTTAACGATCTACTTGAGATTTAATACTAAGTTGCTTGATCATTCGATCAGTTAAACAGCTAAACATCGCGTATTTCGCGTATAATTTTGCTTCGTCTGCTGAAGGTTTTTATAGGTTGTAGAACCTTCATCCGCAAAGGGATAATTCCGTAGCTTGGAAGACAATCGCGTAGAATTCAAGATAAATCTAGTAACTCTAAAAGAATAGAGAATGAAATTCACAGATGAAAGTGAATAGGAAATCGATCGATCTATCTGTGATTCTTAGTTCTTTGTTCAGCTGTCTCGCGGTGTACAATGACTGTAGGAATGATATTGGAATGTACGACGCTAATTCATCAGCGGTTTCGTAACACGGGCTCATAAAAAAGCGAACTAGACGAAAACGGCGAAAACAATGTTATGTATGTGCAAGGGCGAGCGGTTCCCCGAACGGTCGTCGCATTTCAGGAGAAAGTCGGAGAAGAAGTTCCGCGAGAAGGTCGTTCGCGAACGGAGTGGGAACATTTCGGGCGCCATTTTGACGGAGGACGGAGGGAGAGCAGCAGGCCCGGATATTCTAAGTAGAAAAGCAAACGAGGAGGATTTAGCCGGAGAAGAAAGTTTCGACGACGGTCCGGGGAGAAATGGGATTCGTAGGTAAATCGGGTGCCATCGGAACATCCGGCCGGCAGTAAAAGCAAGTGGGGAATTAAAACTTCGGGGGAACGGAGAAGAATGTTGATGGCAGCGTCGGCGGAGGAAGAAAAATTGAATACGGCGGGGGTAAGGGGATTGGAGTGCGCGAAACGGAATTCTGAATAGAGACGAGCGGAATTCCATGGGAACACTGAGATGTAGTACAGTTTCGAAGACGTTGAACTTCTTTCGGAAAGATAGGCTACAGGTGATTGCAAAATGAAGGGTCGCATTGAGTGAAGTTTAGTGTGAAGCTTTGAGTTTGAGAGATTGGTTGGGAAGGTGGAAATGCGAGAGAATAGAATTAGAGAGTGACTGTAGAAGTCGGTGTTCTACAGGTCGTTTCAAGTTAGGTCAGGAACAAGTTTTCTATGGTGTTATTCGCGGTGTCTTGGAAATCAGAAGCACGGTGTTAAAAATTAGAATACATTCTATTCCGACATTTTTAGCAGAATTTTCTACATTTGATTTGATTTGATTTGCAAAATTATTAAGTCTTATATATAATATTAAGCTTTGTATGATGCATTAATATATGGAATATTGAAATACAATAACTTTCCTTCTTAATTTATATGTTTTCGCATTAATTAGTTTCAAGGGATATCGTCCGTATCTCATCGGAGAATATTGAATATTTCTAGTGAACTTTCGAGTGCAAAGGGTTAATATCTCTGAGACGAAAGAGTTCGAAAGGAGTCTTATTAAAATGTCCACAAACAAGGAACGTGAGAAGGTTATTAATTCGAACAGCGACGAATTCGAATTCTACGGATAGTTTTAAAAAGAACGGTCCAGGTTAATCCTCGTAGAAAAATCAACTCCTCTAGTTTGAAGATCTCGAAGCAGTAAGTTTTCACGTCCCTAGACGAATCCTCGAATTTCTAAGCGGTTCATTAGCCTGTACAAGCAGTTTCAAGATGGTAGGTCAGCCCGAGCCACGGAGCGAGTCTCGAGGGACAATTTCTACAGCTTCTGGGCCCGCGTCGGTCCCCGGGGCTCGGCCGGAGCCGCGACAAACGGGGAAAGTTGTGGCCCCCACCCCGCCGGTTTTCAGGGCACGGCAGTGACGTCACCCATCCGGGACCAACCAGGCCCAGAGGCTTTCACGCTCTAATCTCTTATGCAACCTGTCGTCTCTGGCGACCGCCAGAATCGATTTTCTAACGCGATCTCTCGGAAAGTCCCGCAGAAGTATGGCTGCGTTACAAAATCCGGCCGCAATCCTCTGAATTCATTCCCCGATTCCGGGCCTCGCGCGGCCCCGCGTCGTTCCCAACGAACCTGCTCACCCACGCAACTATTCCACGAGATAAAATACTTTCTACAACACTCTCGCTGCGCGATGTCTACGAAATTTCCCAATCAACTCGAACGCTCCCCGGCAGAACCTCAGAAACAGAACAATAGAAACCACGTCGGTCCCAAACGCGACCTAACGAACTCCAATTCGCCGTTCGACACCGCAAACCCATAACCAGCAGCACGAACGCGAAAACCCTTGTTCCTTGATCTCTCTCACTGAACGACTCGAAATACCTGGCACGGGCAGCTCGGGAGTAGCCGATAGGCCCCGAAACTCGGTCCCATATTGAGGATCGACCGGTCGAATTCGAAAGACGACTCCATGTTCCCTGTCGCCACCATATTCCGCTCTAGATCACCTCTAGCTCCTGTCTCCGACCCGGCCCGCCGGCTTCGCACCCTAAATCCCATCAGCCCAACGAAGCTACCCCAATGTTCCACCGAATCGGACACCCGAAAACCGATGGTGTCCCATGAAAGCTGCCTCGCCGAGGAACAAGGAAAGAGAAAGAGAAAGGGAGACGCGAAGACAGGGTCCCAGTACTCACCGGCAAGAACGATCGCTGCTAGGAACAGCAGCACCAGCGAGGACCTCGTCATCCTCGGTCGGCGGCGCGTAGCTACCCTCGTTTCCCGATGGACGCGTTTCCCGTCCCGTGGCACGTTCTCACGTGATCACCGCCCCGTATCCACGGTTTCTCCTCGGTCACACCTGCCGCGAGCAGCTCCGAGAGGGGAAGAGAAGAGAGAGCAACGGGGAGCACGGAGGGAAGGTTCCTCGGATCAGAGCCACGAGGTTACCGTCAGGGCACAATCACTTCCGGTGGAAGTATCTCGTGAATTACTGGGCCGATGTCTCAGCGCTCGCGGGCGCCGTGCGACGGGGATCCTCTTCGGTTTCCCTTCGGGCGAAGCTTTTTTTTTCGAGCGACGTGTCGCGATCTTCAAGGACACGGACCTTGAAGGTGTAGGGTACCGCTCACGGACTGACTGAGGCCCGCCACTCGCCGGGCTTTATATTTCCACCACCACTGGCCCACCGGGACCCCGCGCTCTCTCCCGTCCGGCTCCCTCTGCCCCTTTTCTCGCGTCTTTCGAACGCGGCGCGCGCGATGTCTGTGCCTACGGTGTCTCCGCTGATTCAGGTGCTACCGGCTCGATCTTGCCGGCAGTGGCGTAGGAGCTGCACTGATCGGCGCAGGGATTGGGACTGGTAAAAATTGGGACGAGTTGAATTGACACTGGGCATCGAGGGAGTGTCGTTTTTGGAGATTTTTTGCGATTTGCCAGTGAATAGAATGGTGTAGACGATGTAACAGGCAATTTAGGATTCGTGCAGTAGCGTAGGAGCTGGACTGATCGGAGTAGGGATTAGGACTAGTAACAATTGGGATGAGTAAGTTGAATTGGCTCTGGGCACCGAGGGAGTGTCGTTTTTGGAGATTTTTTGCGATTTGCCTGTGAATAGAATGGTGTGAATGATGTAACAGACGATTTAGGATTCGTGGCGTAGGTGGTTGAAGGGATCGGTATCGAGATTTTTGGGACTCATTTGGGAGAATTTCGATTGGCGTTGAGGATTGTAGGATTTGATTTCTGGAAATTTGTTGCTATTAGGTGAAAAGAATCGTTTAGGTATAGATGGCGCAAGGACATTCTATGCGGCCTAAACTCGAGAAACAAGTGGATTTAAGGACAGTATAATTAGATTTAATTGCGTTTTATACGGTGAGAAACCGGTGGTGGAGTGTAGCCGGGATATTCTGTTGCTTTCTGTGAGATTGGCAACGTTTACGATCGTTGTGCGAAATCGAGTTTCCCAAGTGTACCTTGCAGGTAAGTTGAAGGAAACTTTGCTTTTAATGGCGTTAATACGTTAATACCGAATAACCGGACTTTCTATTTTATTGCGATTCTTGTCTACTTGCTAGAAACGAGCGAACCTTGTCTACTAATAGCGAGTATTCCTGCTAGATTATTGCGGAGATCAAATATCCTTAAAGCATAAAGCATGTAGCACTAAAGATCCTCTACATCCCTATTCTTTAACCCTTTGCACTCGAGAGGTGGCTCCAACTCACCACTTGATTTCATACAGTAAAACTATGAAATTTGTTATTTAATATTATACCCTGTATAATGCATCAATTTGAGAAATAATGAAATAAAATAGCTTCGTTCCTCGATGTTGTTGTCTTTATCCCATTAGGAAATCTTGAAATATTTCTAGTGAAAAACTTCCGAGCGCAAAGGGTTAATTTACATCGCCACTCGAAAACGTATCTCACTAAACGCAAATTTCCATACATTTCCCAAGAAACTTCCCAAAAGACACTGAATCCCAAACAATGCCGCTAACACGGTTTACTACGCCTCTCATTACTGTTTTATCATCAGGAAACATTACTACAGAGAATGAAATCCCACTTAGCTCCACATTCCAGACGATTATCCACGAAAGTGGAAGTCTACACGCCCGCCGACGCCCCGGTTCTCGTAAACCGAGATTGCAACGATGTCGTCTTCCCACCGTCGAAACGGCGGTATCAAAACTGTAACACGAGCATCGAATAAATCGCGGACCCCGCAACATCCTCCCCCGGCGACGTTGCGACGAATAAAACGGCCGCACGCGCGGTAACGTTGCCGCAGCCCCAGCCGTTCGGCCACCCTCCAGCGACCCCATAACTTTCTTCGAAATTTTACGAGTCGAAAGTTCCAGGTCGCCGTTCACAGCCGCGATTCGCCCGCGATCGCGCAATAATTCCGCGCGGCCGTGTCTTCGCAGCCCCCTCGACACCGTAAAACCGGCGCGGATCGATGGATCGTTTACGAGCGCAGCTTCGACGATGGAACAGCGTCGTTTACGACGGCGCTACTGCCGCGGAGATTAAAATAGCAGATAAGCTGGACGTTTATTAAAAAAAAACGAACGCGGTCGTATTGTTCCGCGAGGAAAGAAAAGCGAGGAAGACGAAGCAAGATTGGCATCGTTGATTGTCCATCGATCGCGTCCACTGTCTTCCGAGGGGAATCGTTATTGACGAGGGAAACGTCTAGTAGAAGAGGGGAAGGCGGAAAACACGGGGGAAAGAGATGTCGCAAGTTTATGTAAGAGAGAAAATAAAGTTTTCCGTCGAATCGGGGACGTAAACGCATTTGCCATCCAGTCGAAAGTGAAACGAACTGCATTCGTCGAGCCGGTCCGCAACAGAGTTGCAATCGTAGGATCTATCGTGGCGACGGCTCTCTTCGTAACCTGATCCTGCTGCTATTAATACGATCTTTCGACAGAAAACGATTGATTATTTCGCGTGAAGTTTTTTCGTTCGTGACCGAGTTTTGCAAGAATCTTCGTTATTTAAATCTCTTATCCTGGAGAATAGAGAATACTTCCAACGAAACGATGAGTTAGTTCTAACTTAACATTACGAAATGTTAACAATTCTATCATTCGTCGATATACAAATATCACAATGCATTTCCTAAGATCCAATATGGCCGTTGCTAGATATTCCACAATTAACTTTCCACGTAACAAATTTCATCAACACAATATTATTCTAATATCTCAATCACTTATTTAACCTTCAAAATGAATGATCACCGAAGAATCCAAAATTCAATTCACTTCTCTTCAATAAAGTTTATATTTTAGAGGTTAGAATCGACGCCATGTTGAACTCTCAGACGTCAGTTCGCGAGCAACTCGGCTAAAATACGTTTACCCCGACGATTAATATTTACGAACGAATAAGATGGAATTTTACGTTACTGTTGCGCGTTAGTCAAAGAGAAGCCAGAGGCGAATAGAAAATCCGATTACCCGGGTTTCTCCGTTCAACCCCGAAATGTCAGTGCGGGGGAAGGGCTCGCATGGCATTTCGTAGCAAGTGACGATCCTCATAGGAAGTCTGCAGGCGGCTAGAGGTAAATGCCAAGATTCCCGCGGATCTTTCGGCGCACGGGTTACCAGGCTGAACTGATGACTCGGCGAAGTCATTCTGGACCTGCCGCAGGTATTTACCCTTTGCCGGCTTACCCAGGCTTCCCCTGATTCCACTTCGTAACGATTCTCGTACAACGAACCTAGAGGAACCTATTTACGGAGGAGAGAAACCTTTCTTGCACCTCGATCGTTGTAAATTTTACTACTTCGTTAACTCTTCGCGGAGAACCTCGAACCTTCGGAAACTCTGCCCGTCGAACATTGAATTATATATGGAAATCTTAAATACCAGGGAAAGGAAACCTCGTATCTGACAATATTTGAATCGTTCAATTATTCATACGATTCGATTTCGGATATGAAAGCTGGCCGACGACGACCGAGTTCACTCCGTTTATCGATTAACTGAAGCTGAAAGTAAGTAATGTGAGATTTGTGATTTTCTTCATTGGATGGAGATTTCGTAACGAAAGGACGTAGGAGAATATGAAATATTGTGGAATGGATGTATTTGTGTGAATAGATATATTGATGAATGTGCGTGCAATAGATGAATGACGCGACTGAGCGCGTTTTGAATGAATGTCAAAGCATTGGAATGTTCTAGATTATATTGATTTTCTCTGTATGTTAATAATGTTCGTTTTTTTATGAATCTAGAATGTTCCAAATACATGTGAAGTTAATGAGTAATGAAAGAATGTTCTGGAAAGTGTGTGAGTGAGACAAGAGCATCTGAGTGTGTAAGTAGGGTGTGCGTTGTTTGATTTAGTTTTATTGTGAGTTGTCAAGAAATAATTATAATGTTAATAAAATTCCCTTTCTTCTACAATATTGTGAATGGTTTATTGAAAATAATGTGGCTCGACTGATAGAATCAAAAAAAGATAAGAAAAGTGGTACCGAAATCATTAGGAGTTGTTTAATTATACCTAATATTATTCTAATATTTAGATCCATTGCGAGAATCGTGTTGAAAATTGTTAATACTACGCTTCGTACTCTCTAAACAGTATTTCGATAACAGACGAACTGCAAAGTTGATGTCACCACAGATAAAAATACGTTCAATCGATTTCTACGTGCAATGGGGGATTATAATAGCCGCGGTAGTGTAATAATAAGGCCGACACGACGCCCAGGCCACAGCGGCGATTCTAATTTAGAGGATCAATGTTAAAGTCCTCGTAACCGATGCAACGGACAATCCGCCACGGTCGCCGTTACGTTTACCGAGAACCGGCGACGGAGTATCTCGGCCGAAAAAAAGTGAAATCAGGCACGCCGCGTTTTTGCCTCGCCGGCCGATTTGCTTCAACCTCCGATCGGAACGAATTGGTACATCGGTTCTACGAAAGAAGCCGTGTCACCGGGGTCTCCCGTATCGAAATTTTCTTGTGAAACAGCGCGCCAACTCGATCGGATCGCGGATTATCGTCCATTCAGCCGCAGGAATTTGCCCTTTCAGACGTAACCGAAGAATGGCGGACGATCCGCGGCGGAATCGCGTGTGTACGTGTCCGATAATCCTGTTGCTGGATCCAGGGAGGCTGAGGATGATCTTTGGTCCAGCGGTTCAACGAAAATCAGAGATTCCTTCGCGGAAATAATAAATTTTCTATGTAGCAGAAATAATCTTGGACTTTCCGATTTATTTGTAATTTATTTCGATGAAACGAAAGAAAATTGCAGAGTTGTATATTGGAGAGAACAATATTACTTCAAGATGGTAAAAATGGAAATCTTCAGTTTTCTAAATACTGAAGCTAATTTTCAACTCTGCTCTAGCATTGCTAATGTATTAAAAAAAGGGATAACAAGTTGAACATGTATATATAAGGGAAAGCAATGTGTTTTCTAAATAACAGAAATAATCTTCGATTTTCCGATTTATTTGTAATTTGTTTCGAAGAAACGAAAGCAAGTGGCAGTATATTGGAGAGAACAATATTACTTGAAGATGGTAAAAACGGTAACCATCAGTTTCCTTATTTGTCACTTCCGTTTCCTAAATACTGAAGCTAAC